AAATTTTCAAAATAATATTCAAAATTAAAATTAAATTGTGAGTCCAACTAAGGGCCAGAATGTAGTGTATCATATGTATGAATCTGTGATCAATTCAGAGTACTCACATAATATCTGATTAAGTTAATATGTACAAAAATAGCAACTAAGAAAAAGTTTTCATGATAGTAATGAATTACTAAGAGTAAAACATAACAAAAATACTGGAATGGCACATATATGACCAGCACTTCTAATAGTTTGGGGATAGGATATTGCACAAAGTTCTAGTATGTGGTGGACATGGACAGTGTCCATGACGCTTACTGGTGGCCAGGTGTCACTTGTGGGACTGAGATACTGCTATTTCCTTGATATCCACCCTGTTGACCTAGACAGAATCATGACCCACAGGGTGCAGGAGAAGTCTATTTGTAAAGTATGCTGATGGAAATATTTTGCTGCTGTATACAAAAGAATAATTGGAAGACTGCTATTGTAACCTCTTTTTCTCCTGTGTTTGTTTGTTTGCCCTATTTGGTGGGTTCTTTCCATTCTCATTCATGGAGTTGTGGTCATTTTGATCCCTCTCTAGAATATCTTAGTAGTCTGTGGGGTTGGCTTTGTTATCATGAAATTCTTTAGTTGTTCTTTGTCATGGAAGTATTTTACTTCATTAAACTTGAAAGAGAGTTTTGCAGGGTATATCAGTCTGGGTTGGGCTAGTTCTTATAAGAAGCAGATCTACACAATAGAAGTTAGATAGATTTGGTGATGAGATCTGTCATCCAAATAAAGTCAGTCATTTACTAACCTTTTCTTTTGTCTTTTCATTTTTCTTTCCAGAATGAAGATACCCCAATTTGGGCAGCACTAATTCCAAATTGTTTCTTTGCTTTTTGCTGTTGATAAGTTCGTATACTTTATGCACCCAGTAAGGAAATGATCATGACGTTGATGTAGGCATTATCTTTGTAATTCTACTTCAGACACTGTCTGCATGTTTATGTTTCCATGAAGTCAAAACTTCAGAAAAGAGAAAAACTGCATACTAATATTTGGATCTTAAGTATCTTAAACAATAAAATCTTTTATTAGAAACCTTATGCATGAAAACTATTTTGACACTTTGGAGAGCCACAAGAAAGGCTAGTTTAAAAAAAAAAAAAATCTCTGTTTCTTGTCTTTTTATAGTGGTGGTGCCTTCTATATGCTTGGCAAGCACTCTACCAGTGAGCTACATTCCTCACTCCTAAAAGCTCTGTTGAATATTTAAAATAGCAGTTGATCATATGTCACATCTTTATTATACATTAAAAGCTACATATCTTCTCTTACTAGTTGGAAGTGGTTATTCATCTTTGGCCCTCTACAACACAGATGATGAATAAGCCAGGCATGGTGGTACACACCCGTAACCCCAGCACTTGGGAGGCTGAGGCAGGACCAGTGCTGTGACTTGGAAACCAGCCTAGGTGAGATAGTGAGTTTGAGGCCAGTCTGGACTACATAATGAGTCTGAAAAACAAACACCCTAAAAAAGAAAAATAAAAAACAACCCCCCCCCCTCAAAGAACAACATAAATGATTAAAAAGCCTGAACAACTGATGACATTTCTCTTTGGGAAAGCACAAAGCTGAACTGAAGCCCACCGCAGTGATGTGCAGGTTTCCTTGCCCACTTCCTTTTGACCCGCTTCTTCTTTTTATTGCTTTCAAAAACAAAACAAAAAAACCTCAGATTTTCCCTGACACACAATGTCACAGTTATTCGAAGTGACTTTCTAGGTAGCCTTAGCTATCTGCAAGTGTGCATTCTATTTTCATCACAAATGTCTCAGGTCAAGTTTGTGGAGGGAGGATGTGAGCCAAGGATCTACATGGAGTGACATTAAGAAAGGGCCCTTAGATTGAGTAGGGCATCAAGGGCAGAATGGAAAGAAGCCAAGGGGCTGGCCTCTGCTGACTCCTATCAGCCTGTCTTGGCTATATATAGGGTTGGGGGATGGCATGAAACCTGAAACTCCTGGGTACTCTTCAGCAGCAAAGGGTAATGTGCAGGTGCTAGTTGTTTGCTGCAGAATAGACAAAAGTTGGGTACTGGCTTGTAGAGCCAGATCTGCATAGGTGATTGGTTGCATAGGTGATTGGTTGCTTCTGTGAGTTCACTGGGCCCATAGCATGCAATCCCAAGAGAAATGGGGAAATTCTTGACTCAACCCTTTGTTGTTGATATGGTTTTGCTGAGTTCCACAAGGGTCAATGTGGTAGGGGCTTAAGAGATGGGGCCTAGTGAGTGATGGGGCCTGAAGTCATTGGGGATGCATCCTTTTTTTTTTTTGTATTTTAGGGAAGGGTCTACAGGGTGTTCAGGGTCGCACTAGTAGATTGGACTCATAGTGAGCCGCCTGATTACAGCCTCCCAAGAGCTGGGATTACAGGCACGCGCCACCATGCCCAGTCTCAATTGCTTTCTCAGCATGCCCCAGGGGCAGGGCCAGCAGGGCAGGCCTGGGAATGGAACCTGCTGCCCTTGAGCCTGCTTGCAAGTGCTTTAATCTGCTGAGCTATTTGGCTGGCCCTTGGGGCTGCATTCTAAGATGGCTGTCTTGAGACCATTTGGGTTCTGAGGGTTACTATAACAGGAGCAAGCCAGGCCCTGCTGTCTTCCTTGCTTGCTCTTTTATTTTTCTTTGCACTATGACATGGTGTAGCCAAGGGACAGCCGTTGCCACGGAACCTGTGTGATATGATGCTGCTTGGACTTTGAACATCCAAAATCATGAGCTAGATAAACTCATGGGGCTGGAGAGATAGCTTGGTGGCCTAAGTGCCTGCCTGGCAAACACAAGGTCCTGAGTTTGATTCCCACTGCTTGTCATGCTGACCTGAAAAGGGCGTGGTGGTGCACACCTATAATCCCAGCACTTGGGAGGCTGAGATAGGAGGATCATTGCGAGTTTGAAGCCAGCCTGGGGTTATAAAAGTGAGCACAAGGCTGCTGAACTGCATAGTGAGACCTTGTCTCAAGAAAAGAAAAGAAAAGAAAGAATCCAAACTGCATAGTGAGACCATGTATCAAAATTTTAAAAAGAAAAAAATCAAACCCATGTAAGTGACCTGTGGTCGATATTATGTTGCAGTGACACAAGGCTGATATTAGTCACCATAGCTATATGATGGGATGATTATTCCTGTAATATGAAATTTACTCATTTATTCACCTTCCATTTGTTCAGTAAAAATGGAGTGTCTACCCCTGCCAGGTGCTGTTCCAGGGTGGTTCTAAGGAGACAGTAATGAGAACAGCTCCATAAGATGCACACTTTGGGGCTGGAGAGATAGCTCAGAGACATAAGCATCTACCTGGTAAACACAAGGACGCAAATTAGATCCCCAGTATGCCCAGCAGTCCCGGCCCCGGATTCCCCGGTGCACTGTGTCAGCCCTGGATCCCTGGGTGTGCATGACACACACCTGTAATCCCAGCACTAGGAGGTTGAACCAGGGGAATCTCTGCAATTTTGAGATCAGCCTGGAAGCTGCAAAAGTGAGTACAAGGCCAGCCAGAACTGCATAGTGAGACCCTGTTGGGAAAAAAAACAAAAACACATCTAGTTGATTGTGTTTACTTCCAGCAGTTCTTCATTTTCACAGTTTACTGGAATAAATCACTCAAAATCATAGCAGGGAAATACAAGGAAAAACTTGGCACTGAGTCGCTGAATCTCTTTACTGGACTTGAATAACAGGCAAGCATTTGATCTGGACAGTTCTATTGGGTAGAGGGCTACACGCAAACAGCTTGCAGTCTCTGAGTTTCTGAGAATGCCTTTTTTATTCAGGAAATTCACCAAGTCTCACTGCATGTTCAGGAGGCTCCAGTGTTCCCTTTGTCAAAATTCTTTTACTTCTCTCAACCTTTCCTGATCACAGTTTCTGTATCTGTAAAATGAGGAGTTCTGACTGGTGATGGTGCGAGTTGCTCGTGTAACAGAGCACTATCTGCTAGACTTCTAGGGTAGAGACTCACTGGGACGCTCAGTGTCTTGGTTACTTTTCTCTCGTTGCTGATAGAACATAACCTGACTCCCAAAAATCAAGGAAGTGGAGGTTTCAGTCCATACTTGGCTGGCTCTAAGACAGAGTGTCACATGGCAGAAGTATCAGTTCATGATGGTGGGAAACAGCAAAGAGCAAAGGGAGGAGCAGCTGCTGAGGCAGCTAGCAAGCCTCTCTCTGGTCTTCTTCATATTGTATTGAGGCTATGTGCCCCAGGGTGGGTGTAGCGCTCACAACCATAATCTAGCATTGGATCATGAGTTAATCACAAACTAGAAGCCTGCTGCCCCATTGCTACATGAGGTTTTGGGGGGGTGGGGCAACTAGACACCATGACACTCAGGCTTGTGAGACAGGTGGGCACAGCCTCCAGTATCATAGGGTAGATCAGAGATTTCAACCCAAACCAGAGTCGACCTTCTTTTTGACTGTCACTAATATGAATGTAACAGGCTGCAGCGGTTGGTGTGAAGTAATGCCAGACTCTTGTGATTAACCCAGAATCTCTGTGAACCAGTGGTGCTGAAGACTAAAAGGCAAGCTGTCTTGATGATGTAGGTGGCAGAGACGGGGATCCTTTTAGAGCCTTCAGTGATAGCAGCCCGCTGTGGCACATGTGCCACAGGTTTGCACTGCTGGTGTAGGATGTCATTTTCTGAGCTTCCAGGACTCAGATTCAGATTTACTACTGCTGACTCTGTTGTTACCATTTGAAATGGTGAAAAATCTCTAGATAGTCCAAAACCCAAACTACAGCCTGTTTTGAATTATAATGTATTGGTAGTTACATTCCTG